GTAGGACCCAGCCCTCCTGTGCTGAGTGAAGTGCCAGACACATTAAATGCACATTTGTACAAATAATAATGTGTTGCAGAATTTGATCTCCTTGCTTTGACCAGGTGTGGGGAACCTTTTGCCATGCATGCTGGTGCTGATGGGAGCTGTAGTTTGGCAACAACTGGAGGGCCAGAGTTTCCCCACTCCTGCTTTAAACATACAGACAGCCGCTCCAGCCTTCTCCAGTGCATAACATAGTATGTAGGGGTGTGGATGTGTTAAACCTCTCTTCTTATGTTTTATGAGGGCTAGGTCACAGTGCACCTTGTCAGTGCCATCCATGCAAATAGTTGGCTATCATTTTCCCAAAGAGAACTTTGGAAACTGAAGGCCAGAAATGACTGGGGTGGGCTGAGCTGGCACAAGGGTGTCTTTTTTAGAGTTTTCCAGAGGTTAGTACTTTTCATCTGTTTTCTGAGGCTTTTAGTGGTTTTTAGTGGCTTTTTATAGCTTTTATTGTCTCGCTGCTGCTATTATGATTTTTATTTTATGTAAGCTTTATTGATCTCCACTCTTAGGTTTGAAATAACTTAATAATTTATTGCCTCCATTTTTGCTTGTGTTTGTCCTCTCTGCAAGCTGCTTTGTATCTTCAATTTTAATAGAAGAGCAGTCTCAGATAGGTTAAATAATTGTTCGCAGTTGTCCTATTAATATCAGGAGAAGCCTGTTCGACCAGACAGCAGCCTCCCTATGTGCATGTGCATTTTGGAATCCTTTCAAAATGGAGAAGGTGAACTGAGGTTGCTCTCCAATCAGAAAGTGTTCACAGAATGCCACTCTCCTGCATCAGGGTTTCATAGAGAAGCCTGTGGAAATGAGCTAAGTAGTGGGGTGGTTAAGCCAAATGACATCCTACTTACTCTGAAGTAGGAAACCTCCGGTTCCCAAAATGGAAACCCAAGGTGCAGCATATTAATTTTACCAGGCCCATTTGCAAGTCTAGTGGCAAACAGAGCAGTGACCGGGTATCTTAGTGGATGGCATGTGGCAGCTGCTGCTGTTTTTCATGGGGACAGTGCTTACCAACCATTCTAAAGACTTTGAACAAAGCAGAGGTTCATGATTTGCTGTCTGTGATACTGCAGAGTTGGCCTGATGGGATGCAGCAGAGCACTTCCCAGACCAAAGGGAAAGGGATGAATTTGAATCTTGTTTGCTCTGACCATAACTGGATGCAGGTCATATGTGTGAAGCTTTTGGAGAGGTGGGGTTGTTATTTGCACTGTTGCTGTACATTACACTTGACAGAGATTTTACAGTCTACCCTGATGGTCATGTTGGCCAGTGTCCTCAATTGGTGGTCCACCCAGGGGCTCCATGGTACCATTCACACAATGAAAACCACCATAGAGACATCATCCCCCCCCAAAGCAGGGTTCCATGGCTTGGCTTTTGAAAAACATGGGGTCTGCAGTACTGATGAAGGCAATACCAACCTAGATGGATAGGTGGTGGGACTTGGTGTGCAGCAGCTGCGATATTCCTACAATGTATGCCTGTTGAAGATTAGGGTTTGTATTGCAACACCTTCAATTCAACAACCAACTAAATTACAGAGGGAAGTATTTGGCTGTCTTCTTTCTATCCATATAGGGAAGCCTCTGGAGAAAGAAAATGCTAGACCCTGCAGCACCGCCCCAATTTGGCCCAGGGCTCTGTGCATGTCATGCCTGCGGGAAGCTTCTCTAGTCATCTCCAGTCAGCTGCAGTTGCAAATTCCCAGCCTTCAGGGGCCTTGAACAAAAGGCTCCATCCTGCATATACTCCAGTAAGGGTCAGCCCCCTCTAGGCATCTCTAGGCAGCTGCTTTGGAGCAGCATCAGGGTTGGGAGGGACTCTCCTCTAATTTGCACATTTAATCCCTGCTCATTTTCATGAATGTGACAGGAAGGTGCTGAATGAACTGCTGACTACATTTCCTCTTGTGCATCATTCTCATTCCTACATCAAACGTTAAGAGTTCAGGCAGACCTTTAAAAACACACAACTGATACAAAATCATGAGAGCTGGGAAACATTAATTAAGTTGGTCTTCCGTCTGCTTTCTACAAGCAGAAAGAACACCATGTTTATTATGCTCCTCAACACCCATGATTTCCAAGTAAACTAGTAACAGTAAAGATGCGAACTAGTATTTCTTTTTTGTCGTTAGTTTTTAAAACTTATTTAATACTAGAATCTAAAATGTAACTCGCAAGAACCTGCCCTGGGGGTGGTGTTGGCTATGCATGTGTTCCATTTTGTGGGTTGGGGGTAGTGCTGCAAGCTCTAATCCAGTGTATTGATAAACTAATACTTTAACAGATGACAATTAACACTTGTGTGGGGGTGTTTCACTACTGTTTTGTTTTGGCTGTTGCCATAATGACACTGAAGCAAATATCCAGCTGCTGGAAGTAGTTTTAATCTGAACTACAAGTTACCTTGCACTTCCTTCAGTATTTCAAATAAGGTACATATGCTGATATTTTAGTAAACTGCACTGTGACAAATGAAAGTGAGCATTCCCTGGCTGCTGGGAGCCTGTTTCCTAATGAATTGTTCTCTCATAGAACCCCACACCCCCACCCTGCTCTGTAATCCTCATGCAAATTTATTTTGGCCTGATTGCAGGTTGGGGAGCTCTGTATTAGCACACTTACTTTGCATGCACAATGTCCCAGATTCGATTTTCAGCATCTCCAGTTATCAAAGGATCTTTGACAGTAGAGCTGGGAAGACTTCTTTCTGCCTGAAACTTGAGAGAGCTGTTCCCAGACACAGCCGAGACTTATGTACTTAAATATATTGGCCCTCTTTGGATGATCACGCTTACTAAACTGAGATACTTATGAGCACCTTTCCTTGACCTGTGATTAAACCAGGAAATCTCTAATTAATTAAACTTCATTTTGTACTTGTGTCTAAAAGAAGGAAACTGTGGTTATCAGCTTCAAAACAAGCCTTAAACAAACATCATACTGTGGTTTAAGAGCCTAGCTTGTTCTGAAGTTGGCAACTATAGTTTCCTGATGATCACGAAATAATAAACTATGGTTAAAGAGACATCCTAGTTGGAGCTGTGTTGAAGGTGGCCACTGAGTCAGACCACTGGCAGCTTTGTGTACAGAACCATGGGTGCTTTTAAAAAATCTTAATTCTAAGGTGCACACTCCTCCTGAATTTTGTAAGCACAGTGTTGAGTGAATTGGAGCAGTTCACAGCACCTGTGTTCCTGGCTGCTGAGAAGCTGGCACCTAAAAATGTTTTTCCCTGGAGTAGAAAGTTTGTCCCAGTTGTGGGGGTGGAGATGGAGCTTAAAGATTGCAGCATGTCTGGAGCTGCTATCCCTATTAGGGAGTTCATTTTAACAGCTGTGGCACCTCTGCAAATGGGCCTTTTTCTGTCCTTTTTGCTAGGGGGATATGCAGTGTAGCTGAATACTTTTGGCTGCTGCATCTGTGTTCTGCGTTCACACACTGCAGAGGTGGGGCTGGTTGCCTGGAGGCAATTGTTAATTGCTGCAGGTGATCAGATGTGGGTGAAGGGATGGTATGGAGTGGTTTGGGCTTCATAATGCTATACGTATACAGAAAACCATGGTCCTTGGTGCCTGTACACAGCTGAAAGAGATTGCTTATAACTAGGTAGATAGCCTATAACTGCAGTTTTGTGGGAACACACACACAAAAGTTGAATATAGTCTTGGATGCAGATGTTTCAGATGTTCAGGCTTCATGGTGTTCTTTAAAGCTATCTGGTCCTAATGGCTTGCAAGGATATGGGCAATGCCTCATGAAACCACTGAAGCCGAAGTATATAAACTTTCCAGTGATCAGAGAACCATAGAAAGTGAATACATTTTATGTTGCGTGGAGGTGGGGGGCAGAATGGCAGGATAAACTGGGCAGGATTTGATGCTTGGGCAGGATAAATTGGGCAGAATTCATGCTGAGGTGTAGAATTTATACCAGTTGCAGAATTCAGCTTCCCTTGCTGCAGAACTCTGTCTCTCTAAGTGCAGAGTACACCCAGCCCTGCCTAGAAACTGTTTGCTCAGCCGTACCTCTGTGCAATCTCTCCTAGGCTTTCTCTCCCTTCCACTCCTTTCAAATTGGCAGCCTTTAAAAAAAAAGTTTTAAAAAAATCTGTCTTGCAAACTTAGTAGGCTCTGCAGGGCTCAGTCAACAGAGTTGCCTGTCAGAGCTCCAGATCACCTGACGGCAGGTCAAAGGGGTAACGTCATCCTTTTTTCCTTTGCTTTCTCTTCCCCTCCCTGGTTCTCTCCAAAGCCCTGCCTGCCGATTGCATGGGTGGGGCAGGCAGCTTCCTGTGGGGGAGAACCTGACGTTGCTCTAACTCATTCTCTCTCACACTTTCTCTCCTCCCAAATGAGACGCAGGTTTCCTCCTACCTTCTGTCTTGAGTGGGGGGTGGGGGAGGATCTAGCAATTCGGACTTCCTTCTGGAGTAAACCTTGATTGGATTCTAGAATAACCCGTTACCTCTATTTAACTATTTGGTTTTGGGTTGTTGTTTTTTGAGGGGTGTGTGTAAGATATTTCCCCGCCACCATCACTCAGACTTTAAAAGAGGCTTGGAGGACTTGCCAAACAACCCAGGTGCTCTCTGGCTCAGCAAGTGGGGAAATTGCGAAAGGTGTTGCCTCGCTCAGGTATCGGAGGTGGAGACTTGGGCACCGGCTGAATGAGGAAGCTCCACACTTCCTCAGTTCTGTTGCTGTACTTTGCTCCGTCAGGAAGGTTTTGGGTCAACAAATGAAGGGGTAAACGCACCGTCCCAGGAAAGGATTATTCCCTCTTGAGTTTCCACAAGCTGCTGCTTTGCTCAGACTTGTTCGCAGTAATTTTGGGATACCTGCCTTATCCGTTTCTTCACGGCTGAGAAAGCAGGCAACTGGATCCAGTCTTTTCTCCCTCTCTTTCTCATTTTTTCTTTGGCCTCTCTTGGAGCAGCGGTGGATCGATGACTGGCAGAGGCACTACTGCGTGAGGTAGCAGAGAAGACTACGATTAATGAGTGGAGGACATAGATACGTTGTGCCTATGACCATGGGAGTAGTAAGTCTCTTGTATTACTGGGTATGGTTCTTGGGGTCCAAAATGGGATCCTTATATGAGGTGGTGGATTAAGATCTGGTGATTATATGAGGAAAAACTGGTATTTTGTGGCTAGTGATCTGATGGAGGTAGGAAATTGAGTTTCCAATAGGGGCTGTGTTTAGAGAATGCGACCCCCCAACTCACCTTTCTTTTACACCCTGGGATAAATTGGGATCAGGCCTCAGACTCACATGCTCTCTCTTCCTCCTCACTGCAAGAGTGAGTAACTGAACAGGGAGATCCCATATAAAAAAAATCTTCCTTGACCTCAGAAAGGTAAAATTCACCAATCCCAAGGGCTAGGAAGCAGGTTTTAATTCCATGCAGACTGGTAAGATTTTGGGCATGCGGTCCTTTCAGGTTGGTCCATGGTGAGTGAGGAAAGCAGACTCAAGCTGAGGCCTCATTCTTGATCTCTCTCTACCCAAGTACTATCCTGAAAGCGTAGGGGAATATTGCTGGATCAGAACAGGCTTTGTTTTATCCCAGGAGAGACCTTCTGAATCAGACCAGCAGCCCATCCAGTCCAGCATCCTGTTCTCACAGTGGCCAACTAGATGTCCATGGGAAGCCTGTGAACAGGACCTTGTGTGCAACAACAGCACTTTCCCTTCCTGCAGTTTCCAGTAACCGGTATTCAGAAGTATACTCCCTATAGCAGTGCAGGTAGAACATAGCCATCGGGCTTAATAGGCATTTGTAGACTTATCCTTCATGAACAGAGGCCCTTGCACAGGTTGAAAGTACCCCTCTTGGAAATGATGACTTTATTAGCCCCTAGCGACAAGGGGCAGTGTGCTAGAGAACAACAGCAGTAGAGGGTTGTTGTGCTCTTCTGTCCTGCTTATGGGTTTCCCCTCAGCATCTGGTTGGTCACACTGGAAAACTGGATGCTGGGCTTGGATAGGCCCCATGGCGTAAGTGGCTGGGGAAACCCAGCTAGATGGGCGGGGTATAAATAAATAAATAATAATTAGCAGTTCGCTCCTCTAATAATCCTAACAGAATATTAAAACATTATATGTCCTGAAATATTAAGGGGCAGCAAATATCCCTCCCTTCTTGCATTTGGCGGTATCTGTTAGACCCGAAAAAGAGTTAGCGGTGATATTATGTGGAGTTTCATTGCTAGAATCCAGTCCGGCTATCCAAATTGACTTAAGCTTTGTGCCCTTAGTTTTTCGATACTTCTCTTAGCTTTGGTATCTTGGATTTATTGATGGATTATTCTTCTTATTTTTATTTTTGTCCTTATTTTTTAAATACCTGTCAACTGTTTTGAGCAATATGTTTGTGATGGGAAAAACAGGATATACATTTTTGGATAAAATAAATAAATCAGATTTTCACAGAATGGGTAAACTCGGATCACAGTTTATTTCAGGATACTAAGTGACTTAACTGCATGACTTCAGGCATCTGACTTTTTTTTTAATCTTACTCTGAAAATAATTTTTATTTTATTTATTTAATAAAATTTCTAAACTGCTTGATTGTAGTAAAACCTCTAAGCCATTTTACAATAAATATTCCAATTTACAAGAAATGTTTAAACTAATTAAAAGCATTTAAAAATAATGACAATTAACAGTAAATTAATATTAAAACATGCCGTCATTAACATGTCCGGATAGGCTTGCCCAAACAAAAATGTTTTAAGCAGATACCGAAAAGAGTACAGCGAAGGTGCATGCATGATATCAACAGGCAGGGGATTCTAAATCATTTTTGTTGATTTTAAACTGTTTTTTAATTGATAAAATAATTTAATTTGGATGTTACCACAACCTGTGTTGTTGATAGCTAGCGAGCAAAAGGGAGTGTTTAAGGAGTAAAGTGCAATTTAATAAACAAAAGCTGCCACTCAGTCATTTATTTATTTTAGAAGGAAGATTGTTTTTAATCTGTTGATTAAAGCTTAAACAACAAAGAGTCTTGTGGCAACTTAAATGACTTAAACAAATGTAATATGGTGTAAGCTTATGTGTACTAGAGCTTATACCATAATTTTATTAGTCTTGTTAAGGTGCCAAAGGGCATTCTTGGTTTTGCTGCAACGGACTAGGCTTGATATTCCTCTGAAAAGTTATATTACAAAGAATGATCTCTTAAGTTGGGAGAGGGAGAGCAGCATTTTAAAAAGGTTTGAATGATGAGCTGGTTCAAGAAGAGATAATTAGAACAATGTGTTTGATTTAGACCTCTGTGCTCGTCGTGGTCTTGAGCCTGTTAGATGATCATAAAGCTCTTAACTTCCTTTCCTGATCATGGCCTAGTTCTTGCTAGGTAATGCTATACCTTGAGTATCTCTCTTCAGACTGGGGACTCGTGGGATGGGATGGCTCCTCCATATTATAGTATAATGGGGAAATCTCTACACATAGAAAACTAACTTGTAAGAAGATGGGCAGGTGCTAGGAATCACAAAAGCTATTGGACTATTGCTTGTGGTCTTCCCATAAGCATCTGGTTAGCCACTGTGAGAACAGGATGTTGGACTAGATTGGTCTCTGGGCCTGATCCAGAAGTCTTACGGCCCGACTGAAAACATCCCCTGCTGCATTTTCTGCCCAAGTTACCACAGTACCTCTTGTTTCTTTCCGGAACGATTAGGACTGCCATTGCCATCCTCCGCTCCAGATTTTGAGAGGTGGGTTCTTCGAGATAGGTCTTTGCACAACGTGTGGTGCTAGCATAAGGCCACTGGTTGGAGACACTGGTGAGCCTTCTCCACAGAGCAAGCACTTTGAAGATAAGAAGAACCTTGCTGCTGGATTGGGCCCAAGGCCCATGTCCAACATCCTGTTCTCAGAATGCCCAGCAAGCAAGCCCTAAATGCAACTGTGCTCTCACCAGTTTTGATTCCCTAGCACCTGGTATTCTGAGGCTCACTCCAACAGTGGAGGTGGAAGATAGCCACTGTGGCTAGTAGCTATTGCTAGCCTTACTGTTTCTTCCATGAATGTATCCAGTCCTTTAAAGTCTGTAGGCATCACTACATATTGTGGGAGCAAATTCCATAGTTTAACTATACAACGTGTGAAGATTATCCTGAATCTTCCAGCGTTCAGCTTCATTGAATGGGCCCAGGTTCTGGTGTTACAAGAGGGAGAAAAACTTCTTCCTATCCACTTTCCCCACACCAGACCACTATGTCTCAACAGCAGAAATGGTTCCTCTTCTCCATGTTTTCTGCAGACCTTTGTCAACAAGATTGAATGGTCGTGTTTGCCTCTCCTTGCTCTTGTGGCTTAGACTTAGCTCATACACTGGGAACAAGTGAAATACGATATTCATGGGTTTCCATGGATGCATTTTCTGCTTTGAGAGCAGCCTGCTTGTGCTTTCTGTGACTTAAAAAAAGCTAGGAGAATTAGGATGAAACCCCTCTTGCTGCTAATTTAGGAGAGAAAGGGATGGGCAACCCATGCTCTGGTCTTGGTTAAGTCGCACTTGGGTCATTCCACATCAAATCAATGTGAAAAACAGGGGTTTCATCACCCACCGCCTCAGATTTTTTATGAAACTTGGTGTATACCCTTCCCTTATGGTTGAAAGAAACCCCCTTAATTTTTTTTTTCTATCTCACTTCAAAGTTTTGTGAAATCTGTGTTTCTGTCCCTCTTGAGATTCTTGGCCTTGTGTACATTTTATTTTTTTTCTCCATAACCAATGATCAGATCTCTTTGGAATTGTACACAGAGTTCAATAACATGATGAGGATTTCAGGGGAAAATACACCAGCACTCAAAAGATTTTATAAATGCCTTAAAAAAATTATAAATGTAGTTTTTTGGGTGGAAAAACTAGGTTTAGAAAACCTAAATTTTCAGTGTGTGGGCATGATGGAATCAAAAGTTTTTGATGGTAAAAATTATTGCAAGACATGCTCTTTCTCGACAAAGAATGAAATGCAGATTTCACGAAACTTTGAAGTGCTATAAAATTAAAACCGTTCGAGATAGAGGAAAAAATTTTTAAGGGGTTTCTTTCAACCATAAGGGAAGGGTGTACACAAAGTTTCATCAAAATTAAACTAATGTGGAATGACCCACTTGGCCCATGGAGTCCTGATTCCGTAGTATTTGGGAGCTGCTTAATACATTAGGACCATGACCAACCCATGTAGTAGGACAGATGCTCAGTTTTCTTCTTTCTACGGGAAAGGAGGATAATGATCTGAAAGTGAAAGATTGTACATCAACGCACCATATTTTTCGCTCTATAAGATGCACTTTTTCCCTCCTAAAAGGTAAGGGGAAATGTGTGTGCGTCTTATGGAGCGAATGCAGGCTGCGCAGCCATCCCAGAAGCCAGAACAGCGAGAGGGATCGCTGCGCAGTGCTCCCTCTCGCTGTTCTAGCTTCTGGCTTAGCCGCACGCAGCATCTTCAGGGCAGCGGGGAGCCTTCATCCCGCTGCCCTGAAGAGGCTGCACAGCTATCCCAGAAGCCAGAAGAGCAAGAAGGATCTTGCTCTTCTGGCTTCGGGGATAGCCACGCAAAGCCTCTTGAGCGCAGCAGGAACGCTCCTGCCTCTTCACTCAAGAGGCTTTGCATTGCTTTCTTGTTTCTTGTTTTCCTCCTCTAAAAACTAGGTGTGTCTTATGGTCGGGTGCATCTTATAGAGCGAAAAATACAGTATTTTTCATAGTCAGATCACTCCCTGTTGAGGTTTATGGCTTATAGCAACTGTTCCCCTCTACAAGGGGGGTGGGTACTAGAGGTCAATGAATTCTGATGGAATCTAGTGAGTTTTCTGGCTGGTTTGACTGGCAGTTCTTTCAAATTCCTGGTCACTCTGTGGAATGCAGAGATTACTCGAGTGGTTGTCGAGCTAAGCTGAACCCTACACCTGAGCTGAGGGCATTGAAGCAGGTTGAAAGATGGCATGAACACATCTGGATAAGATTTCATGATGAGTCCGACCGAACACAAGAGCTAATTATCAAGCCTTCTC